GCAAGATTTACTCTCCAAGATTGTGGGAATGGGCTTCATATTTTGAAGTTTTTAGGTTTGATTTCTATGAAAGAGAATGGGTGGAGGTGAAAAATATTGAGAATAGTGCAATTTTCCTTACAAATCAATATTATGGCTCATGTTATCTAGTAGCTGAAGAATATGATATAAAGAGAAACTCTATTTATTATATTCAGTGTGAAGATAGAAATATTTATGTCTATGACTTGAAAGATCAAAGTGTTACAATATATTTGTCTTGTCTCATTGTCAGTTGTCAAAAATCATCTCATTGGTGGTGTATGTTGCCAATGGCAGACAACTCTTAAGATTTAATTTCTTTTTAGAAAAAAAAATTATGTAGTTTATTTTTTTCTTTAATTTGTTATTTAGTTTAATAAAATTATAGTTGGTTGATTTTTAATTAACCTTTTCTCATCCTTGTATTACAATAAATTAGTGCATAAATTAATGCATTTAATTAACTTTAAATCCATTATTTTTTATACTTGAAATTACCAACGGTTGAACCATGATCATTAAAATAAAAATTTTAATATTTTATCAACAAATCCCATTATTGTTGACACTTTTAATTTATTAATTTATTAATAAAATGTAAAAAAATAATTTTTTTGAAAAAATTATCAAATTGATACAAACCAAAAATTAACAATTCAAATTAATTCAGTTCTCAATTGTTTAAATTTTAAATATTTTATATTCTAAATTACTTTAAAGGTATTGACATAATTTTATAAATGAAATCTTTTTTATTTTATTAAAATTTTAAAAATAATAATACAAATATAATAAAAATACAATTCTCGGATAATTTTAATTTTAATTTTATAAATTAAAAATCGAATTGACTAACTATTTTACTATTCACATCAAATACAACCAAATCAAAATCAAAATTGAATTGAACACTACTGTTGGACTCAAATTTTTTGCTCAGATTATTACCCACAGATTGAGCTTCAGCTTTTAATGACCACGTGGTTTAAAAAAATCGAATTGGCTCGTTGGCTTAAAAATGATAATAATAATAAACCCCTGGCCTGATGTTATCTCATTCAGACGGGCAACAAAATCTCTTCCGTACAAATTATGACATGGTGACATCCATTTTCCTTTGCTAAACTTACATTCTCTTTGGGTGAGAAAGTTCGATTACAGTGGCACCAAGGGCATTTGCCCACTGCCATATTAAAGATCCAATCCAACCAGCTGCAGCGTGAACAAGAACTGCATCTCCAGTTTCAACCTGTATTGCATGATACTGTGTTACAATTTTTGTTAATACAATTAAAACTCTGGTTTTAAACTAAAATAAGATCAAGGAATGAGGATCAATGTCAGGATAAAGTGAAATAACCAAGGCTCCAAACATTATAATTGTAACAACCTGTATCTATGCAATCTAGCTTGGAGCAACAACCTACTAGATACTGGATGGTCATACCCTCCGACCTGATAGATGCAGTGATAATAAGGTCAACAGAAGGAGGAACTGGAAGAATCTGTTCCTCAACATATGAAACCATAGAATAAACAACACAAGCAAAACAAAACTTAGCTCTATTTCACTGCTATGTTATTCTCTTTACTTAACAAATTCTTCCTATACCCAAGCAAAACAAAAACCAAACCCCAAAAATAAATAAATAAACCAACCCATCAACCATATCACTGATCCGAAAAATAAGGAAAAACAGAGGAGACTCTGTGATTATTATAACCAATCCAAAGATCTTTTATATTGCAGAGCTGACTCTGCCAAGCTGTGTTTTTCATGCGATGGGGAAGTACACTCAGCCAAACAACCATTCACCAGGCACTCTTGGTCACAGCTCTGTGACACCTGCGACAAATACCCTGCTTTCATCTTTTGCGAAATAGAGCAGTCTGTTTTAGCTCCAATCGTGATTGGGAAAACCACAAGTTTTCCTCATCTTCATTGCATAATTGTAATATTAATTATAGTTATATTAATCCTAGTATGAAAAGGAGTATCTTTGGTTTACAATTAATAATACCTATTGCTACCATAGTTACAAATTTAAATCCGAAAAGAATTCTAATTAATTAATTGCCAAAATCCCAATATTAACCTTCCATACATACATAACCTTATATATATATATATATATATATATATATTATGTTTTTGGTATGGATGGGTGGAATTAAGACAGCAAAGGAGAGATTGAAGGTATTGTATTTTCAAGAAAAGAAGCGATTATTATATCTTCTGATTTGTTAGGTATGATCTCTATCAACCCCAATTTTTTTTGTACGTATACTGCATGATTTGCTGTGTTGGGATTACATGTTTCTAGTTTTGTTTAATTAAATCGGAAGCAAAACTCCAACTAGAATCCCAACAACCTGTTATTTATTATCAATCTTAATTACCCACAATTAAAGATTATGCATCTTAGTTAGTTCTCATTCTTAATTGATTATCACAAATAGTGTTACATGGAAGTCGGCTTTAATTCTTCATTATTGCATATGGCTTCCACAATTTTCGTAATTACCTAATAATTTCTGATGATTTAGCTTTCACAATTTTCCCCCCGAGTTCTTTCGTATTATGATTTAGCAATTAAATAAAGAATTAGAAAAAATATTTTTAACATTTAGAAATTCAAGTCTAATTGCTTAAGTTTTAAACTAGCTATTGAAATTTAACTCTACACTCATGCTTTAATTTTGATCATCTCAATTGACAGAAGAAAAAAAACAAAACCCAAATCTCGCTTTTACGTTTTAGAAGCATTTGTCTCGTATAGTTTTTAGTTTTTATTTTCCTTGGTTAATTTCTCAATTTCCACTTTCCAAGTAAAAAAAAAAAAGTAAGTCGAGATACTAATTATGCAAATTTCATTGAGATAGCTAGTTAATTAGAATTTGGTTACCTTAAGAGCTTTGTTTTGTTATGCTTGCTGATATGTGGTATGACTGCAAAAGCAACGAGGGCTAGCCGAGGCTTCTCTTGAGAGCCTAACATACGAGGAGCCGAATAGAATTGGGTCATTTAATTGAGACTGCTTGATTTCTCCTACATCTGAACTGTATTAAAACATCCAAACATGACTAAAGCATTTCGTTTTCTTTTGATATGAAAAAAAGGGAGTTTCAGACCTCACTCTTGCTCTCTTCCAGCAATAGGGATTTTACGTTATTACTACTAAATCAAATGCTTGAATGCTACTATACAATATTTATTTTTTATTTCTTGATAAATATATGCTTTATTTATTATTTTATATTGTAATCAAAATTTTTGTTAACTTCTTTGTAAATGCCACAGCAACTATGAAAAACAAAGATTTGATACCATCCGAAGAGCATCAAGTGAACAAAGATCAGGATGTGTGGAGCAGTCTTCCACCAGAGCTTTTAAGTTTGGTATCATCAAATCTCTTTGCAGGGGACAAAGCGATTTTCCATGCAATTTGCAAAACATGGCGATCAATCCCCATTGCTCCACCACGTCCACTTCCTTGTCCATTCGATCATGATGAGGATTCTCCATTTCCATGGTTGTTCCGAATCCTAAAAGGCAATACTGACAGAGGCCAATTTTTTCATCCCCTACATAATTACACTTGCGAGTTGGACCTTCCAGCAGAAGTATTAGGTGCTGAAGTCCGCTTTTCAAAGTATGGCTGGCTACTAATGACTCGAGATGAGGCACATCCGTTTCTCTTCAATCCTTTGACAAAAGAGATTATTGAACTTCCTGAGCTACCTCCCCTCGAATGGGTGCATTCGATGTTCTTTACTTCTCCACCTTCCCCAGATTGTTTGGTTCTCGGAATCGAAGGGCGATTTTATTCAGTCTCCTTTTTTGTCCATAAACTAGGAGAAGGTTCTTGGGAAATGCTTAATTTTCCATGTAAGGGAAAGTTTCGATTATCTATTTGCAATCCAGTTTTATACAAAGGATTATACTATTGTTTGGATGCCAAGGGAAACTTGGGAGTATTTGATCTGAAAGACATAGAAAATAGTTGGGATACCTACAAAATGACTTTCCCATCATGCCGTATCAATTCAATTGCTCAAGCATCTCTAGTGGAAGATGAAGAAGAATTGTTAGCCGTTCTCATTACAAAGGATGATCAAAAGATTCATGTTTTAAAGTTGAATCTGACAAGTAAGATATGGGAACCGGTAAGAAGTTTGGGAAAGAATATGTTGTTCGTAAGTAAAGGTGCATCCTTCTCCAAAACGGCTGTCGTGAGAGGAACCGGTAACAAAATTTATGGTCCAAACTTTTGGGACAAAAATGGCTCGTTTTGCTTCTATTCACTCACAACCGGAAAGTATCATTCTTTCTTTGATAATCTTTCAAGTAAAGATTCCTATAATATTAAATTCCTTCAACATAGCTCTTGGTTTATATCTATGTAAGATTGTTTCGCCTCCATATTTAATAGTTGTTTCCAATCTTTTAAAGGTTTAAATAAATTATCTTGTACATTATACTCATATTAATCTTTATAATATATTATCAAACTTAATTTAATTATATTTTGATTTTTTTTATACATGAGAGTCCATAACCAGTAACTTGAAGATAGAAAAAAAAATTACAGGTGATAGGATGTAATACTACATGTTGATTAATTATTGTTATGTAAATGGCTAACTAAAACTACGCTATTATAATATGCTTCTTCATATATCGAGTGCTAAACAGTAACCATGACATGAAGATGATGAATAAGACTTGATATCAATATGGCTTGAAAACGGATGCATAATGAAATTTAAATTAACTAAACCCCACCTTGCATCATTCTCAATTAGAGTCATCAAAATTGATCTAAACTTGAAATTTTCAATTCATTCTTGATACAACTCAATTGGATTTGATAAAAAAAAAGTCAACTATATAAAATTATCTGAAATGACCCCGAATTCAAATTAAGGTAAAATATTAATAAAAAAACAATGTAAATCTATTTATTATTTAATTTTGATTATAAAAAATAAAAAATTTCCTTTTATATGAAGCAGTGCTATCAGATGAAAAATTTTGCTAAACAACATTACTGAGAGAAACAGTACAAGTAAAGAGAATTAACAAAATATCTCTTTATTTCTTGGAAGACTAGATTTATAAAGAATCTCCCACCCCCAAGCACCAAAGTAGAAACACATGCAGCCCATAAGGAACCATATTTTGTAAGGAGAATCCAGATGTTCTTCAGGATACACGCTTGATTCCACTCCTTAAGAGTTTTCAAATCATGTCCCCTTGACAAATGAAATCCCAACTAATAATCGTAGAACTTTTCATCCCCTTCCAAAAGAAAGCAAAGCAGAATTGAGTCACTTATTTTATCACTTTTTGGGGAACAGTGAATTGACGACACTAGAGGTTTTGCATACCAAAGAGAGGTGATTGGACAAGTTAAAGCCTCCCAGCATAAGATAGGTGCTTGGACGTCCAATTGTTGATTTTCTTAGTGATTTTCTCAACCAGAGGAGAACAATCTTTATCACTGCGCCTCGCAGGCAAGGAGCCAAGTTTGATCTCATTTTTGCTTCATACCTGTATATAGACGCCCATCCAAAATCTAGTATTAATTTTAGCATTAATCCTTAAACAAATCATTCCAGTAAATAGTTGCAACAACTTTTTCTTATTCAAAAACCACAATCTGATAATTTTGTTATAAGCAGTTTTATAATTAAATACTGACAAAAGATTTTAGTATAAGTAAAAGCAAGATTCCAAAACTAAGAACAGAAATTCACATATTTCTGCTTCTGGATTTGTCATAAATCAAATATTTTCATCAGACATGGAAACAAGGATTAGGGAATGTAAATTGTTATGTTAAAAATAAGAGACAGATAGCAAAGTGAAAAAAAAAAAAAGCACCAAGCATGAGGAATATTAATGATCCATCTTTTTCTTTGTTTTGTAATAAAAATTCTCTATAAAAAAAAAAAAAAGTCAATCTTTAAATGGAGGGCATTTTTTTTTCATAAGAATATGAGCTTGCAATATTCACTCTCAAATTTCAATTTATAATTGGTGGGAATAACCATACCATATAAACTCAAAGTGTCCTGCTTTATGTTTGGCATCCTCTCTTGAAACGGATTATGTAGAAATAATAATAATAATAATAAGTAAAAATTATGCTGAAGAATAAATTGATTCACTTATTTCAAAGATTAAGAGTGTGGAGTGAAACTAAAATGATACTCTAGCTACTCTGGCTCTCTATGATGTCAAATAAGGAAACTAACTCCCACTTGATAAGGAATTAAGAACATCAAATCCAACCAAGTCAAATTTCCAATGATAAGAAAGATATAAACTATAATAAATTATCGGACCATAAGAAACCAATAACTCAGAATTGTTCAAAGTCAAGAATTGAAAAGAGAAAATACCAGCAAAAGAATATACTATTCTGTCGCATAATGTTGTTGAAATGGATGAAGGATGAGAGACTTAGTGATATCCATAACATATTGGAAAATCCATCAACCTTGAAGAACAAATTTTGGTAATATTGAAACACGGCAGTCTTAAGCTGATTGACTTTGCAAGTAAGAGAATACATGTTGTAATTTGCAGTGCCATGCATGATGCACCTGAAATTCAAGCTGAGAATTGAAGTTACAATATAAAATGCAACAGTTCAAACAGAGCATTCGTAGAAAGTGGAATAACCTTTTGGGCTCAAAGGAAAGTGGCAGTCTCGAACTTCAGTAGAACAATTCAACATTCAACGATCAAAAGGCATCTCCCACGTCACTCTTTAAAGAAATTGCACCTTGATGAAGGGAAATAAAGTGGACAAATGAAGAATTATGAGAGTAGAACAGGTACTTACTTTCTATCGGATTTGAATTGAAAGGAAAATGAGATATCTCACAAGCACCAAAACATATTTGCCTTATTCTGGCTTGTCCAACTGAAGGGTCACCTCAGTCACTTCAGAATTTTGGACATTCTGTGATTGTAAGAAACAACAACATGGAAAGGTAAAACCAACAATTGATCAATTAGTTATGTCTGGAAAGGCACCAAATAACATTTTACAATCATTTACATTATTAAAAAGAAGACACTAAAATCTTTATGTTTATAGCTTCAGATTATACTCGTTTATGTTTATAGCTTTATGTTTATGGATCACTGCACAAGTACTTTTGGCAGGATGGGGAAAAGCAAACGTGGCTGAAAATTTGAAGAAATAAAAACTAGAAAAACATAAGAAAATCCTTTAAATTGACACATACCATTTCTTTGAACAGCTCTTTTACAGTAGTTTTAAGGTCGCCTTCCCACCGCACTCTTACTTCAACTTCATCTTCTGTCAGTTGCACTTGTTGCAGCTTTGGTGTGCTTAAAACTCCTTCACAGAAATTCTTCATTTTTGGGCACTCTCTCAAAATCACCCTTCTCAAGGCTGGGAATTCAAAGATGTGATCCCCTAAGCAAAAGCTTGCTAGACTTGGAAGACAACTTAGCCGCAGATACTTGAGTTTGGTGAACATAATGCCACCTTTTATTTCTTCACCCTCACAAGCTATGATTTCCTCTATCATCTTGCAATCAGTTATGCTCATTCTTTCTAGTAGCATCAGGCTCTTAGCTGTTGAGCACGCTATTAAATTGATGAATCCATGACATCTTGAAACTTCCAGAGTTGTTAAATTTTCAAAAGACACCGATGATGGCACTAAAGTCTTTAATTGTCCACATTCCAGCACTTCAAGAATTCTTATTTTACATAAAGTTGCTCTAGGATTGAATTCTTCTTTCCAGAGATGTGTCAACTCTGGAAGTTTAGACAACCTCAATTCCTTTATCTGAGTGAGAGCTGATGTATGTCTTTCCTCATCGCTGATCCCTTCAAACTGGAAAATTTGACAGAAGGAAGCTTCATTTATGACAATCTTCTCAAGATATGGTAATGGCCGAAGGAACCAATATGGAAGAGCAGTTGCTGATGTGTCAGGAAAGCATTCGAGGTTAAGAACTTTTAGTTTTCTGAAACACTGCAATGAGAGTTGTCCATGCCATATCCCTTTCATCTTATCTTTCCGCTTCCATGTCAATTCTTCTAGGACAGGGAAAGTGTCCTGTATATTAACAAATATGTTAAACAACAGAGCTTAAATTTGTAAAGGATGTTAAAAGTATAATTGCAACTTATAATTTAATATCCAACAAAGCTCTTGGTAAGAATTAGATGAACATTTGCTTTTCTTTCTTATAATTAAGAGAAGATGAGAACAGTAGTTATTTCAATAAGCATTTTATGTGCAAAGTGCAAACCGCCAGTGTTTTATAGTAACAAAATAGATACTTGCTACAATAAAAAGAACTAATCTCACAAAATGAATGATATAAAATTGTTACAGAAGATTTGGTGCAATTAATATGCATGAGAAGAATTTTAAAATTTTGTTTGTGTTCATACCTCATTGACCCAAAACAGGGGTTGTTTATTTGAGATTTCACCCAGCTGGCTCTCTGCTTGAGTTTCTCCAAAGCCAAGACATTCTGAAGCAAATAACTCTACTTTGTGGCAAGAAACCAGCTTCATTCTTTTCAATGATGGCCATTCTGTAGCATGCATCCTAGAGTAGAAACTTTTCAATTTGGGCAATTCATCAAGTCGTAGGTATGTTACTCTGGGAAATACAAATTTAGTCACTGCTTCTACCACAATAGATTCAGTAGCTGTTACTGCATTTGATTCATTAGCAATGAGTCCTCGTGGTTCAATTATTTCTTCTAGCGAATTACAATTCACAATCTCCAACATGTCTAGTTCCTCAAGTTTTTCCATCATGCTAAAGGGAAAAATATTTAAGAGTGTTTCACAGTCTTTAACCAGTATGTTCTTTAGTTTGCTAAATGAATCCATGTTGAGTTGGTCCTGCCATATCTTTCTACAGTCCCTCATACCTGTGACTGTCAACCCCTCTAAACAAGGGAAAACCACCTAATAAATTCATATAATTGGGTTAATAACTGAAATACGTATGAAAATAACAAATTTAACAAATGTTCAAAAAAAAAAAAAGAACACTGAACAAGGTTGATGAAATTAACAGATGAAAGAAAAGCCACAACAAATTAAAATGATAATTCGTGAAGAAAATAATGGTAAAGGAAAAACAAAAGAAGAATCACCTTTTCATTGAAGAGAGCGGAATTATCAACCTCCAAGTTACTTCCTTCTGTATTTTGATGAATTTGAGGTTCATCTCCAGTTACAGATTTCAAGATGAATGTTTTCAGTAAAGGACAATTTGTTAGGCTTAAAATTCTCAAGCATGGGAACTTAAAGTAAGGTTCAAAGCAGAATCTTGTGAGTTCGGGAAGGTCTTTCAGCCACAGGAAATCTAGTTTAGGGAATAACATCTGGCTCATCCTTTCTTCTTCTGTCAATCCTTCAATGAAGATTACTTCTTCCATGATCTTACAGTCCGAAATATAAAGACTTTTGAGTTGCACAAAATCTTTTGCCATGAAAGATGGAAACAGATATTTCAAATTGTGACAGCTCTTCACGCTCAAGAATTCTAATTTCTCAATATATAACAAGGATGGGAGTTGATGCTCGTGCCATATCCTTTGAATGTTAATTGAGGACAAATCCAACCTCTCCAATTTTGGAGAGACAATCTGCTGGCATAATTCTCATGGTAAGATCACTCTTCGTTCTTTAGATAGAAAATACAATTAAACAATGAGTTCAGTGCATAGGTATGTTATAATGATAAGGAATGATGATAGTCAAAACTCAAGACTAAGATTAACTTTATCACGTGGGTTTTGTTCCCCTCCATTGCTTTTGTTTAATCAAATTTGATTTGCTTAAGCACATTAGCCCAATGGAGAGGATCTCAACCCTTGAAAACAACATTCCATATGCTTCCACAACACAGACCACGGCCAACTCACTCACCTGCTTCTTACTCAAATATGTAATTACCAGTTTTGCGCCGTGAAAGAGGATATGAAAATACCCTGCTCTCCATTAGTTAATGAATTTATATTTGATATACTGTAATTTATAGGTGCTATACTATCAGTGAAATATACAATGACACTTTATAAAAAAATAAATTTTAAAAGCCTAATTGAAAAGCATATACACTTAATTCTAAAAATATATTTAAAATTATTTTTTTATGAAGTGTCATTGTATGATTCATTAACTGTATATAGCACTTAATATACTAATAATGCATCAAATATAAATCCCTAACACCCACAAAAACCTTAACATACTCAAAACCCTATGGACTCTCATATGATGTGATAAAAGTTGGCCATTCCAAATGGAAAAAAAAAAAAAAAAACAAAACAAAAGAGATGCATGTACAACTATTATTCAAATGGGAGATAGACATAAAGAAAAATGAAACAAAATCATGCAAAAATATAAAAATGAATCTTCACTAATAAACTAACCTTATGGCTGAAAAAGGTTGCAGTAATATAGACGTCCCCCTGACCAAGCCTTTTTTCATTTCCATCGCCAGTTGTCCCTTCCTGCTTGTCTCTTGAAAATGTAGTCATTTTTGGACAGTCAGCTATTCTAATGCCTTCTAACGATGGAAATTCAAGAGCTCGACTTCCCAAATAAAAACTTGTCAGGTTGAGACATGATTCAATTTCTATGTTCCAAAGCGGGGGGAATATTGTTAACTTATCTGTTCGTTGGTTCCTCCTCAACGCCCTGCTCCACGATGACTTCTTCCATTGTACTGCATTCTTTTACTTCTAAACGGAAAAGTTGCTTGAGGCTCAAAGCCATAGAGAGTGTAAATATGTATTTCAAGCTGCTACAATTACAAAATTCCACTCTGCTAAGGTTTTTGAAGTCCAAAATTTCTTGAGGGTTGGTATTCCATATTTCCATCAACTCGGGAAATGTGTCTGAGAATTTGAAATCATATATGCCATGGTATCCAACCTAACCAATTAGGCGATATATTCCACCCGTTATATATGGTACAAGATAACAATCACAATTCACAAATACAAATAATAACAAATTAACAATAAACACTCTTTGTTAGTTATTGAACTAATATAAATATCTTTTGAATTTCAAAAACAATGAAGAAGGCAGTATTTCAATCATAAAAGAAAATTGAACAGCAGTATGCAAAATAAATTTTATCAGGAGGAAGCGTTATGAATTAATACATACCTTTTCTGAGTACAACTGTTGTATGGTGATATTAAGGTCACCAGTCCAACGCCCCTTGTGATGATAACGCGACTCTTTTACTCTTTGTAGTCGTGGGGTGCTTAAAACACCCTGAGAAAAGATCTTCAAGTTAGGACACCCATCACACAATTAATTCTTCCAAACAAGGAAACTCGAAGGCGTAATTCCCTGAACAAAAGCTTGCGAGGCTCTGTAAACGGCTGAGTTCCAAATATTTCAATTTGCTGAAAAATATTATCTCATTATATGTTGTTCCATCTGATCCCTCGTTTGCAACAACTTCTGTCATTGTAATGCAATCCGTTATCCTCATTGTCGTTAATTGTACCAGATTCTGGGCTACTGAAGGTGTAACCAAGTTTATCATCATGTTGCACGATTGCACTTTCAAAGTTGTGAGAGTTTGAAAAGATGCTGAGGGTGAGGATCCCAAACTTATCAAATCATTACATTCCAGGACCTCAAGAGTTTCAAGATTAGGAAGAATGTGGGCCAGCACTGAATCTTTCTTCCATATATGTGTAAGATTTTCAGAAAAATTCAATTTTAACTTTCTAATTCGAGTAAGGAGTGTCGCAGCATCTGCCTTCCCAGCAACATTTCCTTCACACGAGACTAGATATTTGAAGTCGCTGCTAAAAAATTGAACAATTTCCAGATTGTAGAATATTTGGAAGAAAGTAAATGGAAAACTAGCAGATCCACTAATTACGGAACCAACCAGCACAAGAACTTTTAGATGGTGAAAAAATTCTGCTGGAAACTGGCCATCACATATCATTGCAATATCATCAATTTTTTCTAACTGCAGTTCCTCTAATTTGGGAATGACCTTGAAAACCAATGAAATAAAATCAAGTCAGAGCCAACATTCCTCAACAAGATCAAAAGGAAAGAGTTATTCTACTATTGGTCACAGGTTTAAGTAATTGACAGGTCCTTAAAATGTACATTTCAATCTCTACTTCAATTTTGAATTATTTAGTCCTCCTACTTATATGATTAATAAGGTAAATTTGTTTAAAAGAAAAAGTAAAAATTGTTAACACCAATAAAACTAGAGCTGTCATTGATGACGTACGCACATAAGGAAAAAAAAAGGTACAGACGCTAGTATTTTGGCCAGGATGATGCTATATAGGCGTAAATCTTTTTCAATTTTTTTTAATGAGTTAAGACATTAACATAACAACAATTCAATTGAATCATTTTTTCTAAAATAATAGATACTATCCTTTGAATTAATTTTTTTTAATTAAAGTTAATCCTAGAGTATATTTTTTTAACATAGCAAAATTTATATTATTATTAAAAATTATGTACACATAGTAAAAAATTCTGCTTTACTGTTTGTTTCAATAGTTAAAAATTGATTACGTATATATAAGATCTAGATAGATTTTACACCCAATTAAAAAAAAAACCCAACTAGGTAGGCTATTGTAAGGAGTTGCTAGTGTTTACATAGTTAACAAGTGAACCTACCACTAATAATAATAATAAAAAAATAATAATAATATATTATTATTATTATAATTAATTAATTAATAGTAGTAGTACATTATTTTTATTATATTATGAAAGGATATCAAAGAATATCATTAGACATAAAAGAATATCAAATTTTATTGTATTTCAAAATTAACGTCCTTTTACAAATTATTTTATTATATTATAAAATTGTAAGGGGAATAATACTTAATTAGTAATTTTTTTTGAAACAATACTTAATTAGTAATTAATTGAGATAGATATGAATCCTAAAGTATAGTTCACATAATTATTTACGTCATGCTTAAAGTATAAAATGAAGGATAGAATAAAATTATAATCATTTTATATTACATTTTGTTTATATGTATCTAAAAAAGAGGATAACATTACAAAAAAAATTAATCATATTCTTGGTATATGATAATTCAATCTTCAAAGTGAAGAGAATTATTTTAATCCATAAAATTGAACTTACATATTCTATTATATTTTTAAAATTATATTAATAATTTAAATTATACAAATTTTGAAAAAAAATAATTTTAACTAATAAATAAATTATCTTATTCTAATCCTTGCACATAACAAATAAAAAAATAAAATGACATTATTTAATCTAATCCTATTCATATATCATTTTATCTTATTCTATCATAATCTTACATATTAAATGCATCCTTAAAGATAAATATGAATTCTATAAAAAAGTAACTTGTTACTTACAATATTCTTAATTTTTATTCATGTTTGTTCTAATTATATTTATTATAAACTCAACTACATAAATCAAGAACATAGCTATTTATATTTCAAAATTTTTACTTAAAAATGTGCTCATAACACATGCACGTGCAACCCACGTAACTGTGCTAGTACAATAAAACTATATATGCATGTTTGTAAAACAATTGTAGGTGTAAAAAGGCATCAAGTTTTTGTTGTATTTCTAAGTTAAGCCTTTTATACTTCAAATGTTATATTTAAAAAATAATATGAAAATAATATTTCAAAAAATAAATAAAATTTTAGGAATACAACACATTCATTTATTTATACTTCAAATTATTATATGTTTCAAAACCTCATGCATTATTGGTGAAAAGAATCTTTACATTTAAATTTTAATATTTTTGAATTAAAATCAGAATTAAAAATGAGTTACATGCAAAATGTATCAAAAGTGAACTTTAAATTTAAAACTAGAATGCAACACACATTTTTGCTGTAAGAATTATTTTTATTAATATTTATGTTTTTATTAATAAATGTAAATTGAAATAATCATAAATATATTTTATAAATAAATATATATTATCAAAAGCTTAGTACATATTAATTCAACAATTTTTTGATGATTATTTTTTTATTCATTTACCGATTATTTTTTTATTCATTTACCAATTAAAACTAAATATTTCACAATCATGAGCTTAATCTATTGTATAATTTTTTAAAACAAAAATAAAATATGTATTTATCTTAATATATGTGAAATTATTGACAAATTAAATTATAACATAAATAAGATTAAGAAAATTTTCTAAACATAATAAGCTGAAAGCTTACTTTTTAACTGTAATCTCCCAATCACACATTGGCTAAGTATGAAAAAACGATAAAATACATAAGGAAAGATTTTAATCCATATTTGTATGATGCATTTTGTGAGATAAAATCGTAAGACTTTTTAATTCAAAATAAATAATATCTCATAAGTTAGATGTAACTTTTCACAAATGATATTAAAGCAATCACCAATTAAAAGTTCGAGAACTAAATGTTAAATGACAGAAGCTGCCTCTAGAACCTTGCTTGGAATTCTAATTCTATGTATTATGTCTTAAGTTAGACAAGGACGTGAAACTTTAACAAGAAGACTATAACCTCGTCAATCTCATATTAGTTAAGTATGAGAGCACAATAAAATATATAAAAAGATATTTAAATACATACTTGTAAGGTATTTTTTATAAGATAAAATTATAAAAATTTGGGATCAAAGTAGATAATATTTTATAAGTTGAGTGTAAATCATAAACATGATAATTTTATTAAATAGATTTAAATTTTTATTGATATAATTTATTTTTTGAAAATGATATTACTTTCCATTATTGAGAACAATATAAATTGATATTTTTATATTTTGTATTTTTTGCACATATCATATTAAATCATAAAATTTCTACAAGAAAGATATTTAAGAAAAAGGAAAAAATGAATAAAGGTGGAAAAACCAAAATAAAATATAATAATGAAAAGATTTCATAGTTTTTTCCCTTTATCCTTATTTTTCTTTTATCAAAAATATAAAAATATTTTACTTATGTGTAAATTAAAAAATAAAGATTAAGAAAATAAGAAAATAACAAAGAAAATATTCAAAATTGTTTTAAATACTAAAACCACGACAAGCTCAAAATGCATCTTTTTTTTAATTTTAAAATATACAAATTTGTTCATAAAATTTTAATTTTTAAAATTTTTAGGCTATATTTTATTGAAAAATGTATAGAAAAAAACTTAAAAAGTGAAAATAAAACATGAAAAAACAAATAAAATAAATGAAATAAATTTATATTTTAGTTTTAAGTATTTTTATTCTTCTTCCCCATTCATCTCTTTAAAAAACCAAAAAAAGTTTAAAACGTTTATGCTCATTATCTTTAAAAAAACAGTTAATTACTAAATCTACATGTTTAATATTTTTTAATTATTCTAAATTATATTATTTTTGAAGATATTTTAAAAGAAAAAAAATAAATATTTAAGAATAGCATAATGTTAAAAATATTTTAAAAATCCAAAAACCAAAAATATATATTTTTTAATTTTCTTTTCTCCAAATTATTTTCTTACTTTGTTTTCTTGTTCTATTTCTCAATTTGTTTCTTTTCTTAGCGTTTCTGTTTATTATTCCTTTACCTTGATAAAAATATCCTTAAAACCAACTAATATCTTTAGAGGTAATTTAATAATTTAACCCTAAATATAATATAATTTTATATCCAATTAATCCCAAATCATCATTAACCCAATGAACCCCAAATGATCATTTATGACAATCCTTAATTGTCCAAAAATTCTGGTCCCAAATCCCAAAATGAGCAATCTCATTCAATTAGAGATAGCTTTTATATATAGGTATTGATTTAAGTATTATTGTTATTAAATCAATGACAAATTAAAAAACACATTTATTAATATATTTCATGAATAACTTAAAATTTCATTATTGTATTAGTAACACATATCGATCATTGATGTGCCACGCATGTGACCATGTTTTAATTTTTTTAAGGAAATAGTGAAGGTTCATAACCATACCTCTTCAACCAAGAAAAATGGCCGTCGAATTGTGGATTCTCGTTGGTCATTCCCATTCAATTCTTGGATGCTAAGACGTTCGGAAGCTACTATCTTTAGTAAAGTTGAATAATCTGTATCCATCTTTTTCAACATCGGCCAAACTATCGTGTGTTGCCCTGGGTAGAAACATTTGAGCTCATTCAGGTATGTAAGCTGCAGGGAAGACAATTGAGGAAACTTAAACCTAAGAGGCTTCTCCAATCCTTCCCCTGCCGATACAATCTCCTCCACCCCACAAATACTCACTGTTAGAAATTCAAGTTGAGGAAGATCTTTGGCTGTAGACGCTGGAAATAGATTTTTTAGACTCGGACATCGCCATACATTTACTTTTCGTAGACTTTGAAATGCAAGAATTCCAAGGGGATCGTTCCAAACATGCTTCAGTTCTGGTAGGTCGGAAATGTACAATTCTCTTAGTTGGCAATCTACAGCGTGTGTTTCTGTGATACTTAACCCTCCAACCTCAAATATCTGTTCTAGTGAATCACAATCGTTCACTCTAAGCTTTTCCAGACAGCTAAATACTCCGACTATAGTAGATGAAAAAACAGTCAATAACTCATCACAGTTTTCAACTGTCATTTCTTCTAATTTACAGAAGGAACCAGCTAGAAGTTCGTTATGAAATATCTTCTTCACATTTCTCAAGTGGGAGATTCTCATGCTTTTCAAGCTAGGAACTGCCGCCTATATAATAATAATACATGCCGATGCTAAAGTTAGTTCATAAAATTAAGGCAAAAATGCAACGAGAAACGAAACAAAGAGAGAACAGAAGTAAGAATTAAAGACTACTAATTCACCTTCTCATTGAAGAAAGCTTGTGTACTGGAATGATGGTTCCCCTCCATTTTATTTTCACTAATAAATTCTCCTAATTTAGGACAGTTGTCAATCGTCAGCACTTTCAAGGATGGGAACTCAATATTATAATTTCCTGAGCAGAATTTGATGAGATTGTGAAGATTCTTTATCTCCAGGGAGCCTAATCGAGGTAAACAAATCACAGCTTTCTTTTCTTCTTCTATTCCGTCTGTAGATATTACATCTCTTAAGCACATGCATTTCCCTATCTTAAAGTGTTTGAGCTGCACCAGACTTCTAGCAATAGAGGGCGATAATAGATATTCCAAGTTGTCACAGCCCTCAATGTTCAATCTCGTTAAATTCGGAACAACATAACATGTCTCTGAAAGCTGGCTGTGCCATATTCTTTTGAGGTTAATTGAGGACAATCGCAGGCTTTCCAAGTAAGGTAACACAAACTGCATGCAAATACAATTTTTTTTTAAAAAATAGAAGAATATAAAAATAAAGAGTAAATTATTAATTCGATAATGTCAATAGTGACTAAAATCATTATATTGTCACTAAGATAATAAGATTTACTTAAAAATGGAAATCAAAATATTAATAATTTTTACAAACATTGATGATAAAACCATTATTTTTTAATGTTTGGTCACTAAAATAAAAACTCTTCAAAAGTTAAGTGACAAAATGTATAATTTATCTATTTTTTTAACACCTGAATTTTTTTTTTTTAATTTGTAATATCACATTGATAATGCCATGTGCATATAAAATAAAATGGTAAAACACACTAGCAAGTCCTCAAACCTAACAATTTATAACAATCAGCCGTTAGCCTTTAATGTTTTGAGTGACAAAAGATTAAAATTTTGACAAAAGCTAATGATTAAATTGCAAATATTTATAATTAGATGATTAAAATATAAAAAAAAAATACTTAGTGACCAAACATGTAATATATCCAACAACCATATCAAATATAGATTCTTAACTTACGGTACATATTGAATATTTCATCTTTAACAAAACATAATGTAGAGGGATTATGGACTTATTCAAGGGAATCTATAAAAGCCAGAGAGTTCCCTTCATAGTTTCCACAATAGTGATCGATGCTTCATAATTGAAAAGATTAAGGACACTTGTAAATAAATGTATAATTTATTGATAAAATGTTAAATTTTTAATTTCAATAATCAATATTCAATCTCGAACAACCACGTGTAAAAAAAAAAAAGAAAATATGGACAAGGCTTAAAATAAGACAAATTCAACAATTAATTAACACTACTTGAGGCCGTTACAAAATAGGAATATAAAAAAAAAGTTCTATAAAAAAAAGGCTAAAACAACAAAAAAATATATTAATTTTATCACATTACTTAGATAAATTCTTATATTTTTATTGCATTTAAATAAATCTTTAACCTTTAAAATTACATCATCATCAATGTAATATTTATACAAAAGAATTCCTGCATAGTTTACACAATAGTGATCATTTCATATTCTGGCTTTATAATTGAAAAGATTTAAGACACTTGTTAGTGAGTTGCGTGATCTATTGATAAAATTTTAGACTTTTAATTCCAATAATCATTATTCAATCTCTACAACCTTATGTATAAAAGAAAAAAAGAAAGCACGGATAGGGTTTAATATAAGACAAAATAGGAGCATAAATAAAAATTCTATAAGAAAGGCTAAAACAACAAAAAAGTTCATCAACCTTACTACATTATTTAGATAAATTTTTATATTTTTATTGTATTTAAATAAATCCTTAACCTTTAATTTGTATGTAAATAAGCCATTGACATAAAACATCATACATGTAAAACATCAATTTCTTACAATCACAAATGTTAAAGTAAAGCTTTTTCGTATGTAAAATATCAAATTCTCCCTAATTAAAAAGAACCAAAAAAAAAAAAAAAATTGCAATACTTCATATGAAATAAAAATTTATTTGGATACAAATCAAAGTATAAAAACTTTTTGAAATATGATCAAAATATAAAAAGTTATTTAACAAATGAAATAATTCGAAGGACTTTTTTAATATTTTAACATGTAAGCAAATATGCATAAAAGCCAAAGTATATTTTTTTTTTTTACCAATCCCGAAAAGCCAAAGTTGGAATATCGAGTAATCCACAAACAAACAAATTAATACCTGTGTATTGAAAAGTGGCAAGGGCTCAGAGTTCGTGTTTCCCTCCTGTTGGGATGTGGAACACCTATTGTCTTGAGAGCAAAAGTTGATGAGCTGTGGCAGACCTTGAAGTGTCATGGACTGCAATTGAGAAAGCTTAATTTTCTCTGTTGCGATATATTGGACCTCCCGACCATTTTGGATGTGAAGTTTCTTTAAATGTGGAAAATCTTCTCCATTATTTAACTCAGCAAGTACATTCTTGATGCCTTTAAGTTGATCCAGATGTAAATCTTCAGTCTTGTTCATCAATATTTTTACCCCATGATCCCTGTAAATGGTTGTCTACAACTTGAATTTCAATGTTCTTGAGTATTCATAGTTTCTGGACCACTCCCACTCATCTCCAATGAGAATCCTGTATCTGTCCAATGACTCAATGAACAGATGTTTTGGAATTATTTGGGCATTAGGAATATGAGCATAAAATGTGGTCAGATGAGACAAATGCTTTAACTCCTCAAGACTAGCATTTCTCCTTTCTTTGCCGAGTACTTCATCTTCCCATTGAACAAAGCTATTGTCCATATATAATTCCTCTAATTTGGACAAGCTCGACAAGACATTTGGTGGGATGATTTTGAGTCTAGTACAACGACTCAAATCTAGCATCGTTAACCGAGTCAACTGTGCTATCTCCTGAGGTAGTGCTTCAATGTCTGATCGAGCAAGGCTCAGGATTTTTAAATTCTTGAGCTTCCCAACGATGGCAATGTCTTCTAGTGCACATTGGCTTAGACACAACGTGTGAAGGTGTGTGAGGCGTTCGATTGACACTGGTAGGGATGGAAAGTGCATTCCAGTCAAATCTAAGACTTTGAGTCTTTCTGTTTGTCTAAAGAAGTTGGCTGGAATTTCCACCGAACCTTCGTAAGCCATATGGAAAAAGGAAAGAAGTGGACACTCCATCTCCTCAGGAGCCACGCTAAGCTCACTAATATCAGGATAAGTTAAATTAATCGCACTGCAATTTCTCATCGCCTCGTTTTCAGGCCACTGTTTCAGCACATCATCATTTATTAGTGCAAAAATGCGAGGGTCCCTGCTTGCAATTGACGTAGCAACATACCAAACAACGTCATGGATATCAAACCGTTCACTGTTGTAGCTATCAAGCAACAGACAAGAGGCTTTCAGGTCACTCACCACTGTCAATACTCTGTTTCTTGCTTCCTCTATTGTGTGGAGGCCATGAAACAAACCCAGACCGATTATATATTTCAACAAGTCTTGAATCAACCCATTATGGCCTAAGAAACTGCAAAGCAAGAAAGTGAACTTAACTTCCTCGCTTTCTAAATAATTGTAACTCAACTCTATAGCTGAATATACGCCCGCTGTTACCCCTTTGACGTTTCTTGACGCAGGCCTCTTTAGTTCACACAAAGCATTCTTCCATACAAACAAACTTTTGTTTCTCAAAGCCCTTGCAACTGTTGCAATGGCGATTGGCAGCCTCGCACATTTCTTTGCTATTTCAATAGCTATAGCCTGCAAATCACATCTTTCAACACAGTCACCAGCCATCTTCTTAAACAGGTCCCAGGCTTCTTCTTCATTTAAAAGGTCAACTGCAAAATTTTTCTGTGTATCCATCCCACTTGATAAGACATTGAGATCTCTAGAAGTTAGCAGAATCTTGCATCCCTCACGTTCATTTCCAAAAGGAATCCCAACTTCCTCAAGATCTAATTTTGCCCATATATCATCCAAAACAACAAGAATCTTCTTCTCTTTTTTCAATCTTTCTTGCAGTCGAAGTGCCCTTCCTACCATACTCTGTTCCTCGAATCTTAAACCCAATAAATCTGCAATTTGATCTTGAATTCCCTTAACATCAAGGGTCTGAGTTACGGTTGCTATAACCACGGAATCAAATAACTTGCCCTCCTTGACCTGTCTAGCAATTTCTTTGACTACTGTAGTCTTTCCTATGCCACCCATCCCATGCACCCCTATAACGTTGATACTAGCATCCTTCAGCGCCTCCTTGATTCCATTCAAAACCGACTTCCTTGACTCGAATTCTTCGAAACATTTAACTGATGCGGCTCCTTGTAGAGCTGCACGAAAAGAAACCCCGTCAAATTTGGCCTGCGGCTCGAGTAGCTCAGCAACAGCCTTCGCCTCCTCTTCAGCTTTCACGCTAAGCTTGTAACGAGTCCAAAAATTAGGACACAAGCCGATGAAACACTTTTTCTTTGCTTTTTCTTCATCTTGCATTACTTTCTCTACTTCTTCAGCGATCTTCTTGTCGACTTTAGTCAACCAGTTGTCAACCTCATGTTCGATCTCTTCCCCGTTTCTGTTAGCAGCATCAACGGAATGCCACACTCTTTCTCTTGCATCCTTCAGGCTCTCAGCTTGATTCTTGAGGGTCTGTACCTGGTTCTCATGATTGGAAAGGTGTTTGATATGGTTTTTTATGGGAGAGAAGGTGTGCTTTGCAGCTGTGGCAATAAAGCTAAGGATGCCAATAACAATCTCCATTTTTCCCCTTCCAAGTTGTGAGAAGCAAACTGAACAAAAAGTATAGCTAAAACCAATGAAAAAAAAAAACAGGGGACCAGGAAAAGAAAATTATAATGAAACGACCAAAAAGAAAAGCTTCTTGTATACTAAGTAACGCCAAACCGAGCAAAAGAAAGCAAATGGACTAAAATTGGAAGGGATTTTAGTGGCGTACCTCCTGAAAAGATGAGAAAATTTTCCTTTCTTCACTCTTACTGATGAGAACGAAAACGAGAAGGATTCAGTAATTAATTCTCCCAATTATCAACGAGCAAATTTGTCCCAGTTTCATAACAGAGCAAAGGAAGAACTAATTTGAGAAAGGCAACTCAAAGCGAGAAGTTTAAATTATTTTGCGTGGATATGATGCCATTGAAGTGTCTTGAAAAACAATGCGATAAACTGAAAAAAGAAAACATTAAAAAAGTCACTTCCATAAATCTTAATTCTAATATGTAAACCAACCAATTTGAGAATGATTGGACGGTTAAGAGCACTATTTGACTAATTAGTCATCACGCTAAAGGTTCAGAATATTATTTTTAAAAAATAATTTTTATATTTTGTAAACAACGTGTCAAAGATTACCAACGCGCTAATGACTTGTTTCCTGAAATTGTTGAAGTTCATGCAGCAGTAGTTTCATCGGAAAGAAACCTGTAGTCGGATCAACAATAAATAAATAAATAAATAAATGTACATTTCTAGGTTAAGTACATACTTATTCTCTATATTTTACCATTTTGTGTTTGATATTTAAAGAATAAAAATTTTCAACTAAGTAAACGAACTTGTTTTCGTGTGTCGAATTATCCAAGAAGCAAACTTCTTTGTATCAAGACATATTTGACCAATAGAAAAGTGTAAGCTATTGGGTAAAGCTTAATCATATAAATACGTCAATCTTATGCAATTAGTGGGTTTCTTGTCATGTTAGTGGTAAAAAAAATTTTTAAATATATTTTTAAAAAAAGTCCTAAACAACATAAAAATTAAAATAAAAGAAAAACATAAATAAAGTATGAAATTTTCTTAAAAAATTAAATTTTAAAATATGAAAGAAAACATTTTAAAGAAATTAAAATCTTGACCTTTTTTTAAAAGAATCAAAATTCTTCAAAAACAATTTAAAATTTTAAAATTTTGAATTTTTTAAAAGGGAAATTCAAATAATAATAATAAAAAAACAAATAGAAGAAGAATCGAGTAGAGAGAAGGGAAGCGGAGAGGGAAATGAGAAAAGGAAAAGAGTGATCAGCCATGATCGTTTGGTCTGCGATAGATTAAGGCTGATTGCACACGCACCAGAGAGATCGACTATCAATCTACCTATATAGGGCAGATCAACCCCGAAACAAATTACCCTAAACGATTCGGTCCGTCAAAACGTCCCCTCTCCCTTCTCCTTCATCTTCGCCCCTTCCTCCATCCCTTATTTTCTTTCTGTCCATTCTCTCTATATCTCCTTTATTCTGATTTTTCATTTTGTTAATTTCAAAAGTTTAGAAAAAAAATTGAATTTTTTCTTGAATTTTTTTATCATTTCAGAATTTTATTGAGTAGTTTTCTTCGTTAGCCATTAACTAAAACTATTAGTTAAAAAGAGCCAAAGTATGTAACGGAAGTAAGTGGTTTTTTTTTAGACATCTTATTGAAAAAGTGGTAAAATAGGAGAACGTATTTAACCCAAACCTTTAACTTTCCATATGTTTTTCAGGCTGGACAAAAACATACAGCAGTTTCTTTTTTTTTTTTTTTTCACATTAACGCTATGATTGGATATATATAAATAAAAGAAATGAAAAGAAAAGAAAAAAAATTTTAAAAGAAAGAAAAAAGTATATTTATCTTTTGTTTAAATACTTAAAATTAATAAAAAAAAAAAATTTAACAACTATGTTTGAATAAATAGTGAAAAGAAAAAGAAAAAGATATATTTTATTATAATTTTTTTAATTATAATTTTTAATAAAATAATATTTAATATATAAATATATTTTTATATTATTTAATTTGTATAAATAAATTTTTTTAAATAAAACTAAATATGTTTAATATGATAAGATATATTAATTTATTTATTTTGACAATAATTTGATTTATTTTATTAACAACTTGAAAAATTATAAAATATTTATAAACTATAATATTATATAAAATATTCATAAAAAAATTATTTTTATAAAAAATATCAATTATATAATCAATTTAATGTCATATTAAAAATATAAATATAATAATTTTTTATAAAAATAATTTTTTTTAATTTTTCTTTTCTTAATTTTTTTTAAATTAAGATATTAAAAAAATAAAAAATTATTAAAAAATAAAAAATTATTAAATTCTCACCTCTTTCATTTCTTTCTTTTAATTTCTTTTCCTTTCCTTGCTTCTCTTCAATCCAAACATAGTGTAACCGGAAGTATACGAGCTTATTTGCCCATAATGAAGCATCTAAAAGAATATTATTTATGTAGGATTCAAAAAAATGTTATAATAGAAGATTATATCGTTTGACGAAGATAATACTAAATGATTCGTAAGAAATAGAAAATTTTTGTATAATAAATTTATCTATGAATGATAAGAGGACAAAAATTGTTAAATTAAATAAGTGGATGCAAATTATTTCATTTGTTTCCTTTTGCATTTTTAAGAAAAATTAAGGGGTAAAGTGAAAAAAAAAAAAAGTTTCATTAAGTAACCTCTAAAGGAGACCTTCTGAAGAAGGATTACATTATTTTCAGTATCCTTCAGTCCTCATCCTATCCTAGTGACGCTTGCTGCTACAGTGACAATTGAGCTAACAATACCAATAACAATCTCCATTTTTTTTTTCATTTTCTAAGTTGTGAGAAGCAAACTGAATAACAAAAACTATAAGTAAAACCAAAGAAAGAAAGCCAAAGGCCTAAAATTGGAAGGGATTTTAGCGATGTACCTCAAAAGATGAGAAAATTTTCCTTTCTTTAACCTTACTGATGAGAACTGAGAAGAGAAGGATTCAGCAATTAATTCCCCCACAGCAAAGTGATAATTTTTTTTAGTTTTGTAACAGAGCAAAGCCAGAATTTATTTGAGAAAGGCGACTCAAAGCAAGGAAGTTTCAAGTATTTTGCGTAGATGTGATGGCCACCGAAGTGTCTTGAAAGTAAACGCAAAGAAATTGCAATGAAGAAAAATTAGAAAGAAAAAGTTACATCCACAAATCCTAATTCCAATATATGTAATTAAATTAAACAATTTTTAAAATGATTGGACCCTTAGGAGCATTATTTGCGTTGTCATCACGCCAAAGATTCAAAATATTGTTTTAAAATAATACTTTTATTTAATGTCAACATCACTGCCAAAGATTACCATTACCAACGCGCCAATGAGCTGTTTCCTTGAATTGTTGAAGTACATGCAGTATGCCGTAGTAATTTCACCGAAAAAGAAAGCTTGTCGCGGATCAACGACAAATAAATAAATACAAAAGAAATCTTTATGTTATAGTATTTTTCTTAATTTTATAGTTAAAAATAAAAATTTTCAATTAAATATTTAAATTTATCTTCAATAAATCAAATTACTTTAAAGCTAACTTCATTTATATTAATCAATAAAAAAATGTTGATTGTTAGATAAAACTTATCTAATATGCCGGTATCACATTATTCCTGAGACTCTTATCATATAATAGTAAAAAAGTTTTTAAAAATTTTAATTTTTAAGAAAATGTCCCAAAGAATAAAAATTTAAAGAAAATTTGGAATTTAAAAATATAAAAAAAAAATTTAAATCAAATCTTTAAAAACTTTTTTATTAATTTTAAATTTTGAATTTGTTAAAAAATTAAAGTTAAAAAAATTCTAAAAAATTAGAAATAGAGCCAGAATTTAGATGAGAGAAAAAGAAAAGACAGAGAAAGGGACGGGAGGAGATTGACTGCTCCTTGAGTGGTAGGTCTAAAATAGCTAGAGGGTGATCTGACCCAAATTAGGCAAATCGGCTTTGATGTGCCAAGCCACATCTGTGATGATTTTGCTGATTTGGGACAAAAAGATTTTGATTCCTGATCGGTCAGTCAGTTCCTCTTAGGAGTATAAATAATAGTTCGTTATTTACAAATTGTTTAGGCTCCGTTAAAATATAAATTCAATTCAGTCATTGTTTAGATTTGTTGTCGTTAAAATTTAATTCATCATTATTGAGTTAAGTTTAAATAATTAATTTATTAAATAAATTAATTTAAATATTTTAATATTTAATTTAAATAATTTGTAAATTTAATCAATTTTTTTATTTCAATAAATTTTTATTATTTTTAATTAAAAAATTATTATTTTATTCATATATATCAATCGATCTCGAGTTTAAATTTTTATACAAATAATTAAGTTTGAAATTGAATATTAAAAATTAAATTAATTTTTTATTTGATAAATAAACAAATTTAAGTAGTTTAAATTTTTATCTCAAATCAATTCAAATTTAAAAATTAAAATTTGCTCAAATTCAAAATGAGTTTTAAGTTGAGCATAAATTTTTCATTAAATTAATTTTTTATTTGATAAATAAACAAATTTAAGTAGTTTAAATTTTTATCTCAAATCAATTCAAATTTAAAAATTAAAATTTCCTCAAATTCAAAATGAGTTTTAAGTTGAGCATAAAATTTTCATTATATCAATTTGACGGGCTTTAATTATACCCTTATTTCCACCCTTTCTCTTGCCCTACATCTCATCCCTTCTCACCTTACTCATTTTCTCTCTCCCAATTCTAACTTTTTTTCTCTTTTCTAATTTTTCTTTTTTGTTATGAATTCTTTTAATTTTTATTTCAAAAATAAAAATAATTTACCATTTTTATGACATATCATGATTTTATTAATTATTTTTGCCACGTCAATCCATTAACTAACACTATTAGTAAAAATGTTAAAGTATGTAATAAAAGTAGGTTTAACTGTCTAATTGAGAATTTTATTCTCTTATACCAAATTAAATATATATATATATAGTATGGGAACCCTATTTCAATGAAAATATCAACTTTTCCTCCAAAAAGTTGTAGAAATCACATTCTAACCATAATTACATGTTATTTTAAAATCTTATAAATGTTAATGTAATCCATGTGACCGCATGATTCTTAGTTCTTGTTTAAGAAAATTTTTAGGAAAACAATGAAATTCTAGAAAATTATTTTCATTATTATTTTTTTTTTGAAGTGGAAAAAGTTAAAGGAATTATTTAAGAAAAATAAAAAGGGGAATTTGTACTCTTGACATTAGGAAAGAGGATAAGAAATGTATTATCTATGAAGGAGAATTTGAAATAATTTTTTTCTCAGTTATTTTTAAAGTAATGGGAAAATAAAAGAAACTGCAGAGAAAATTTTCAGCTCAAGAACCTAGTGACATCTTTTTTTTTTAGTGCTTATAAGTCGATTTTTTCTCCACTAGAGCCAAAACCATCAAAGAAAAGAAAGACTATCTTCATTTTCCTCGAAATAATCATAAAATTAAAAGTAGGTATAAGTCACATTGAAACGTAATTACATTTTTTTAATACAAAAGCCCATTAAGATAAGGCTCGTCAAAAATAAATTAGCAATAAGGTGACAGATATAAAAGCAAGAGAGTGGCTCCAACCAAGGGCAATATAAAAAGCCTAAAAGTTTTCTATTTGTTGCAAGTGGCCGATGGAATGCGATGGGCTAGCTACTTCCTTGAAAATATATAGTTGGTATTAAATGCGAGGAAAAAATATTTATAAATCCTTGAAAAACGAAGGTGTTAAACTTTTAGTCTCATTTTAAAATTTATTGTAAGTGGTTTAGTTCAATTTTATGTTGGTAAATTTGGTTAATTTATTTATTTTTTTATTTTTTGTATATATAATATTTCATATATATATATATATATAAGGGATTAACTTATATAAAACAAATTTTATTTTTTATACATTTTTCTAATAATTACTTTTAATAAATCTAAGGGACTTTTTTTTGTTTTTTTTTACTTTTCTCTTTCATCTCTTGGATCTATCAAAATTGATGGTAAAAAAAGTGTATGAAGATATAATTTTTTTTTTTGTGTAAGTTGATTTCTCCCACATATATATATATATATATCAAATATTATATCCAAAAAATAAATGAATTAACCAAATTTTACCAGCATAAAATTGAACTAAACCAATTGTTAATAAATTGAAAACAAGAGACTAAAAATTATCTTAAAAAGTTGTAAGAAAGTTGTATAAAAAAATAAAATATTTTTTTGAAAAAAAGTAAAAACTTTAAAATTTTTGTTAAAATTTTTTATAAAAAAAATAATGAAATTTTTTAATTTTTAATCTTAATATTAATTTTTAATATATTTTAATGAATTTAAAAATTTTAAAATTTTTTTGGATGTATTATTTTTCAAAGATTTTTTTAATGTTTAGAATATTTTAGATTTTTTTAATTTATTGCAAGTGGTTTAGTTTAATTTTATGGTGGTAAATTTGGTTAGTCTAATTTTATTTTTTTGATTTTTTTTATGTAATAATAATATATATATATGCGAAGGAAAACAACTTATACCAAAAGATATTTTACATCTTTTTTTACTTTTTTTAATTATTGATTTTAATAAATTTAAGGATGTAATTAAATCATTTTTTTATTTTTTAATTTATCTATCTCATCTTTTAGATCTATTAAAATTAATGATTAGAAAAAAAATGTAAAAAGATGTAAAACTTTTTTTTTATAACTTGATTTCTCCCATATATATATATATATATATTATACCCACAAAAGAAATCAAAAAATAAATTAACTAACCAAATTTACCTACATAAAATTGAACCGAGCCACTTTCAATAAATTTAAACATAAGACTAAAAATTATAAAGAAAGGCGTATAAAAAATATAAAATTTTTTTCCAAAAAAAATCTAAAAACTTTAAATATTTGTAAATTTTTTTTAAAAATTTATTAAAATTTTTAATTTTTTAGTCTTACAATTTTTTATACTTTTTATGAATTTTTTAGATTTTCTATTAAAATATTAGGTTTATTTTTTAAATTTTTTATTTTGCATAATTTTTAGAATATTTTATATTTCTAAAAATTTTTAATTTTTCATAATTTTTTTACAATTTTAAACAATTTTTATAAATTTTTAGATTTAAAAAAAATTAGATTTTTTATTTTCAATTTTCTTAGGGTCTTTTTGTACTAAAATTTATTTCCTTCCAATTTAGTTAACGTAAGAGCTTTATTTATGTTATTCTTATTGATGCATACAATGCTATATTTTCATGCAAGAAAATAGTCTAGGTTTTGTGAACATGGAAGCAATAGTTGAGGTTAATGATGAATGATCGTCGTGTTCTCTTCCTCCTTACATATCTTAACCTTACTTTTGGCTTGTTATATCTCATAGAGAGTTTGATCAAAGGCAAACCTTTTTCAATGTATCACAATATCGGTATTACACTAAAATCATTCCTGAGATGTTTAATAAGCAAATATATTACTCTTCCTTTAAATGGTTTGTGTTATTAGATCTTATCTCATTTGATTATTTCCTTTTAAATCTCACTTCAATTGAAACAATTCAACTTTCTCTTTTCAATATGGATTTCATTATGTGCATTATCATGGCACCTCCAAGTGATCGAAATTACTGCATCTTATTCTTTAATCTCGTAGATAATGAATTTATATTTTGTTCTCATGATGATTGTGAATTTTTAAAACAAAAGTTGAAAGACAATGTTGTGATTGGTGTGATAACATTTGGAGGAAAGATTATTGCATTTCTTCATAATATTGTTTGCTTACAATTGAGTTTGAAGGTTAAGTCTTTTGATTTACAAAATTGACTGTTGAAAAGGAATAAAAACCATTTAACTTTACCATTCAATGCAAAACATATTTGGTTGAATTTTTTGAAGATATGCTACTTGTTTGCAAGATTTACTCTCCAACATTGTGCCAATGAGCTTTATATTTTGAAGTTTTTAGGTTTGATTTTTATGAAAGGGAATGAGTTGAGGTGAAAAGCACAGGAAATAATACTATTTTCCTTGCAGATAAATGCTACGGTCATGTTACCCAATAGCTAAAAATCTAATATAAAAAGAAACTTCATTTACTATGCTTAATGTGAAGATAAAAACATTTATGTTTATAACTTGGAAGATCAAAGTGTTAAACATATTTACCTTATCCCGTTGTCAATTATCGAGAATCATCTCATTATCGGAGTATGTTGCCAATGGCAAACAATTCATTATTGTCGATAATAGGGGTTTTTGGTCTTGGCTTCTGAAGATGTCATGTTTTCTTTTACTTTAGTTGTTGTTAAATTGATAAGAGATGTGTTTTTAAAGATAGAATTATGAGCTTTAGTTCCAATGCACTTAAATTGTTTGATAGAATGATTGTGATGTTAGCTAGTGGTTGAAGAATTTGATATAAAGAGAAACTTTATTTATTATACTTGGTGTGAAGATAGAAACTTTTATGTCTACCCAGAATAGTAGGTGGCTTAATCCCCATGCATGAAGTAATTGTTATTAGGCAATTTACTTCTTTGAATAAAAACTGCTTTGAGCAGTTTATGATTAATAAAAAAAATGTTGCCTCACTCTCTCATAGTATGGAATACAACCATTAAAAGAAAAATTAGTAGAGATAAGTTGCTAACATAATAAAAAGAAAAAAAAAGAGATAAAGAGAGATTGTAGTAAAAAACTCTTAGTGAATAAATTCTTGCATTCAATGTGAAGGATATATGTTATGAAAATGAACAACTTCTAAACTATGATCTTATTCAACGTTTAATAATTCAAGTCAGGTTTTCGTTTCTACTTTTGTTAAACAAGTAAATATATATGATTATGTTTGAATATATATCTTGCATGATTTTATCTTTCATACGTAAATACAATACTAAATAGTTGTGATTTTTATACAATAATTGAAATTGAAAATCTCATTAGCAAGTCTTTCCTAATTGTTAATGAAAAAAAAAGAGCTAATGACACATTTAATGCAATAAGAGAAATTGTAAAAGATTTTAAATTTTCTATCTATATCTTTTATGCCTTTTGTTTTATCCAAAATATGTAATTTTTTAATTTTTTTTCAAAAAAATTCTTTCTTCCAATAGGGTACCGAAATTGCTAAATACTTGATCATTGACCTAAAAGGATTATTAGAACTCTAGAAAGACAAGTGTGAATCTATATGTTGTAAATCCATTTCTCATGTTAAATGAGATAGATATGAAAACTGAAGCATTTGCAAAGATACAAAAACTTAGGCTTCATTTAGATTCAAATTAATGTCAATGCGGCATGGTTGTAGCCACTTTTTAGCTTTAGTCATGTTGGCTACCCATTTGATTGCTAGTGATGTGGCAAGGTGGCAACATTGATTTCCTCTAGAATGTTTTCCTATAAATTTAGATATTTCGATGTTAATTGTTCTTCACATGAGCAAAACTAACCTAAAACAAGTTTGAAAATAGTCATTTTCATTACATTTTCACAGAAGCAATATCACATTTATAAAAGCTAATTATTTTTTTTTAAAGAAAAACTAATTGTTTCTAATTTCTTCTTATGCCTTCTCAAAACTCCAAACCTTTTAAGACTCTTAGCCTTGAGAAATTTGAGGCTCAATGATTACAAAAATTGAGTGAGGTTGATCAATCTATTGGTGAGATAAAGACACAAAATTATCTTAAACCTTAAGATTGCAAAAATCTAAGAAAACTTTCAAGTTACCATTGGTTCATTGGTGTCTCTTGAAGAACTTATTTTATTTGGTTGCTCAAGGCTTGATGATGTGTTATTAATACACTTCAAATCTTTCAAAGTGGACTATATTCTTGCTTAAATTCTAGTAACAATTTGATCGCAAAAAGCAAAAACTAACATACAAATACAAACTAGAAATAGCTTTGGACATAATTGAGAGTGGGCTTGACCTATTTACTTGAGAATTTTGGTTACTAAAAAGTGAAAAGAAAATTTGGCTTGAGAAAAATTGTTTGTGTCATTGGTTGTTGTTTTTAATTTTTGTACGAATTTCTTCAATTAACTTGATTTAAAAATGCAAGTTTGGAATTTAACTATTTTATTTTTATTAGATGATTTACCTATTAAGTTTTTCATAATGATTTTATTAAAATATTTAAACTACGAGCCTATATAGTATAAAGCGAGCAAATGCTCTACAATACTCAAAAAATAACAAAAAATAAGAAATATAATATGTAATTATTTTTTGATAAAATATATAAATGAAGATTGTTCTTCTTTCATCTCTTCTTATAAACATAATCTTATTTAGAACTTTGAATAGAAAAATTTTACAGTAAAATATGTTTTATGATTAAAATTCTAAAAATTAATTAGAAATTATCTTATTTTTTACCTTTTAGTCTTGTAGTTAAAAGCTTTAAAAAAGACATATGAGCATGAATTCTAATCCTGTCATTTCCTTGCTACACTCTTCAAACAAAAAAAAAATTAGAAATTATCTTTAAAATCTGATGTTACAAGTTATAATAGTTGAGGGGAAAATATTTTAATTTTAGAATAACACTATTGAAGTGGTATAGTTTTTTATATCTCATTGACCCTTTTTAAAACTATTAAAAGTTTTTATGCAAAAAGATGAATTTCAATAAAACAAGCTGTTATGGTAGCACATGTTTAGTAAGCATGATATCTTGAGTTTGATTCATTGATTCCCGTTGACACTGTTTTTCTTAATTTATAAAAAATCTCTTTCTTTAAAACATTTACAATCTCAGTCTTACCGTCCTACAACAAAAGAATCATGTAAAGCATTTGATTTTTTTTTTTTTTTTTGTTTAAACCTCAACATGCACTTTCTTTTTATTCGTCTTCTTCTTGCCAATCCCATATCCATTCCAAGAAAATGTTTCTTGCCCGCCAAACTTGCCCTCTTTTTCTCCACAAATTCCATCCCAAAAATGCTTCTAAGTTAAGGTGTATTCCCAAGAAATTCACCGTTTCTGCTTCCCTTAACACCATAGTTGCTGCTGCCGCTTCTGGCTTTGGTGCCACTGTCCATGGGTCTGTCACTTCTGCTATTACCCAAGTGGCTGTTACTGCCTTTGCTTTTGCCTCTAGAGCTTGTCTGTCCGCTAAGGTTGACTTTTTGTGGCCTAAAGTTGAGGAGCAACAAGGTGCCTTTTGTTACTTGTTTCTGTTTTTTTTTTTTTTGGAACTTTTTCTTTTGGGGGTTTTTGTTTGTTGGGATTTCTTTGCGGTTTTGGAATTGGAATTTTCGCCTAATTTTGTACTTTTACAATTTAAACAGAAATAATAGTGTTTTGTTACATTCAGTTTTAGGCAACCCGCTAGGAGTTATTTTTACAGTGCTAGATTAGGGGATACTAGATGCGTGCTTTGTTCATGACTGGCTTTTAAGATCCTCCTCATAATCTCATACTATGTTATCTTTTTCGTTTTAAGAGCCTGTTTATTGGTGTATAGTTTTTTTGGATGTTCATTTTATTCTGCAGGCACTGCTTTTCAGTTTTCAAATTCTTAAAATAGTGCATACAACTACAAAAACATTTAGGCTAAAATGCCAAAAAAAAGCACTTTACTTTTCCAAATTTCCTAAATAAGCCCCTTTCCTTCTATTGTTATTTTTGTTTAATTGAGCTTTATTTTGATGGAAACCGTTAAAATCCATTATCTTTAGTACATTAGCATTTACATGGCACAAATATATTACAAAATAAGAGCTTTCTAGATGGTCATATGAAATGCCATGCCATGGAGGCCTGTGCTACATGCCATGTAATAACCAAAGTCAGTGTCTTTCTTAGTGGAAGCTCCCTCTCTCACGCAGATGTATTTATGTATTATGAGCGTAAAAGACTCTGCTTTTGATCCCAAAATTATGGAATAATAGTTACACATAATGAAAAGGATATAGTTTTCATTAGAAACCTTGTGTTCCTCCCTATTGCATCAATTATTAATTCTTGATGTTAGCTCATTAGCAAGAGCACGACTATAATTTATGCTCTTTGTAGTTTATAATGACAACCTACTGCTTGCTTTGTCTAATCAATAATCCATATACTGTATACTTACCGAATCATTTTCTTTGTGTTTTCTGCTCTCAATTTTCAAGTTAACAACGTCAATCAATGTGTGCAGGTTCTTTTACAGTGAAAGGAATAGATGTGACTGGCTATCCTATATTTAACGAGGCAAAGGTTTGCCATCTCTAGTTGCCTCATAACTTGCATGTAGTCCTATTCTGCCACTAAAACACTGAATTTGTGAAGGAAGAATCTTAGCTATGTTGGTTCCATCAAGTGGCCTAAGTGTATGAAACTGTATAACTATTAAGTTTGTTGCATTGTGCTGTGTCTATATACTTTGTTCTTCTGATAATCTTTTAACAACTTACTAGTATTTATTTTTCTGTGGATGCTTCTCATGTGCACAAATTGCATGTAGGGTATACTTTTTTATTCTGTCAGCGTATTATGATATTTGACTCCTATATTGGCCTAATGTTTTACTTTTTTAATCTGTCTCGGTTATACTTGTAGACCTATACAATATGACTATTTCTATCTTTCATAGAAGTTAGTGAGCCATTCTGATAGTATGCAGGTACAAGGATAATTGCCGTATAATATGGTAGGAAAACATCTAAGAGTAAAAGCAATAGACATTTTGATGTTTTAGACAGTAACTGTAGCCATTTTAATGTTTTGATGGTAATGGTTAATGGTTTGTTCTTATGATAACAATGTTTACATGGGTAGATAGTTAATTGAACTCAATTCTTGATGGTCTGGAAACTTGGTTCATTCTTTCTCTTTCTTGTAATATTATGCTGAGTCAATTGCATTCTATCTTCTTATTACTAAAAAAGATAGCCCTCTAAAGTGCCAGTGTTGCTCAAAAACATGCTTCATTTTCAGTTAATTCTTTAACTAAGGTCTTGAAGTTTGGTGTAGGCTATTGACATGATGATGATACATGTGAAAGTTTGCTCAGCATAGAAACAGAGTTTGGTGATGAGGTCGTAAAGTTGGTAGCTGGTGCTTCTAGATTAAGTTATATAAATCAGGTAATGTCTTCATTTTAATTGGTTCTGTCTGTAGAGTCCTCATCCTTAATCTTGGTTTTCCATTAAAAAAATATTTGTAAGCAGAAAGCTTACCGACATTTTATTTAACTCGTATTGTAGCCCTTTAAGGAGGATGATTTTTTTCTTTCACCTTTTCCTGCGTTGGTGACATGCTTGGTCTAGGGAAAGCTAACTCCAGTTGTGTAATCCACAGTTGGTTATTTGCGTATGTTTTAAAATGTAAAAGAAAAAATAACACAGAAAGAACAAAACAAGTAAATAAAATAAGTTTCATATTGATGGAAATAGCATATAATTTCTTTTGTTAAATGAAATATTCTTATATTGAGCTGGAAAAGGCCCAGCAACTCTGCAGTTATAAGTCATCTTGCATTGAAGAATGAATTTTTGGAAAATTGTTTTATTTCTGGAATTGGAGATGGTTTTCACGAGAAATTCCTAGGATGTGTAATTCAACTTGTTCACCATATTCAAAACTCCAGAAAACATAAATATCACTTTAACATGTTTATCTTCCTATCGATTTTTTTATTTCAATTTCGAACTTCAGAGAAATATCTAGAAACAACTTATGATTTAGGTTTTGAAAGTAATCCTTATTTATTTCTTTTCACTTATTACAAAAAAAAGAAAAAAAAAAACAGAAAGGGTTTTACTTCTGATGTCTATTATGTTGTGTGTGGGAAAAATATTGTCTCATCAAGTGATGGCAATGATAGGGAAACCATAATGATGTTGCTGTCAGAAGTAGGAATTATAAATTCTTGCCCTTTCTTCTTATTGGTTTTCATGCTATCTTGGTGTCATGTTTGCCATCTTTGGTGTTGTTACCCTTGTTAGCTTGTTAGAATGCCTGTGTATTACAATATTTTTTTAAATTTCAATGATCGTGCTGGAGTTTTGGATCCTCTGATAGTGATATTTAATCCCTCCCACTATATTGTATGTTGTCATGTGACTCATCTAATATATTGTCTTGTAGCCTCCACAGAGACATTGCAGGATAAATGTTAACAGAGTACCCTTGGTTATGAAGAGGAAAATGGTTAGAGAATTTGCACTACAACAAAAAAATGTGGTGTGGATGATGTAATTTAGAAACTAATTTGTAAGCTAAACAATAGGTGAAACTTCATGATTTATATGGGTACACATTACATAGGGTAAATGTCAATGAATGGTTCCTTAAGATATAATTAAATCGTATATTCAATGTATGATTAATTCTTTTTAGTGCTTGCGGTTGGGAGGTCATTTGTAATGGTTTTGAGTGCAATCTCTGACATGCAGTTAACTTTTAAATCCGTATTGTTTTACACTTAAAATGGATTGGTCAAGATGGAATTTTAATACGTAAAGGAAAGGAAAAACGGAACCGTAGGAAATGCATATTGCTGGGATTGAAGTGATAGTAGTTACAAGTCACTATGATATCATATAAGGGTCTTGGTAGCATTTGTGTTGATTCTTTCCTAAGGGCATGTCAAGTTCTATAGTGCAAAGCACTCTTCTTGTTCTTGTGGTCATCTTCAAGATTTATCTCAATGCATATGGGTGGTGAGAATGACATGTTCTCAAAGAACTAGCTGGGTGGAAAACTGTAATATAGGGGATAGATAAATAAATTAATTAGGTTTAATTGTAAGTATGTAACACTGATTAGAAGTTGTTGTGTTCTAATTTAATATTCTTTTCTTTTACTTTTAAGGCAAATAATCTGCGAGTCATGCTCTTGGGAATGGTTGATGATCCATGTGTGGTGCTTATAAAGCTGGCAGACCATATTCACAATATGAGAACCTTGTAATGCCTCTCAAAATTTATTTATTAGATTATCATTTATGCAGAAAACAGATTTCTGTTTGTTTTTCTATTTCATAGTTCATTGGATAGACAACCAAGGCTTGGCCTAGCTGTTATGATCCCCCCATAAGAGGATCAAGTTCCAAGGTTTGGATTAACTATCCCCCTTAGACTTCCTAGTATGTATCACATGACTAATTCATTGAAATGGAAAAAATAATTACTCCATTTATTGAATCTTTGAATTCTAAATTTCTAAACCCTTTAGGAATCTTGCATTATAGACACACTATATTTCTCCATCCTTTGAACATATGTATAAGGACAGATTGCTCCAGTGTTTCAAGCTCTGAGAAATTTATAACAAAATCTGTGGTGCTATAATTCTTAAATATTTATGGTTCAATGGTTTGAAGGTTAATCTTTATGGTATTGATGTATGAATTGCACTTAAAGGTGTGATCAATCTTTACAGTTATGCCCTGCCCCAAGCAAAGTCTCAGGCTGTTGCACAAGAAACATTACTTTTTTGGTGTTCCCTAGCTTCTAGATTGGGTTTGTGGGCACTGAAAGCAGAGCTGGAAGATCTTTGCTTCACTGTTCTTCAGGTAAGGGAGTGTGTTTGGAGTTCATGCTTCTAGATTGGGTCTGTGGGCACTGAAAACAGACCTGGAAGATCTTTGCTTCGCTGTTCTTCAGGTAAAGGAGTGTGTTTCGAGTTCATGGAAGTTGCAAGAGCATATATCATAACATCATTAATGATATTAGTTGTGTATGTCCTTTACTCTATTCATCATGTAGTTTGAGCTTTATTAATGCTATTTGATTGGGACATATATTTCATTTAGGCACCTTTTATCCATTGAGTTTGGTAATGTTATTTTTAAGTGGTATTGTAGTTAAATTTAGGGTGTATTATTTTTCAGTGGTATTATAGTTAAATTTAGGGTGTATTGTGTCTTCCCAACTAATTGTCAAGAGGATTTAAGTGGAATGCTTAATATGATATTAGAGCATTTAATGGTATTATACTCATAATCCCTAAATGCTAGAGCCCTTGTTCTCTTTCTCTCTCTTTGTTTCTTCTTCTTTTTTTTTCTTTTAAATTGTGTAGCTAAACTAATTAATCGGAAAGTGGGACAGATTGTGCATGAGTTTTTAAATTGGGACATCAATCGTGGAATTTTCACTTGATTTGTTCAATGAGAAATATATTTCTCTTTCTCCAAGTGTAGCCAAAAAAAATTAATTCTGGTTCCTAACACTTGCAGTTTAAGGTCAGTTAGACTGTGGTTTTATGGGTTCTATGTTCATAATCGGGCATTGCTATATGAAACTGTGGTTACAAAGTTCTTGACAGCTATGCATCAGATAGCCTTTTATCGCCTTTTAGATTCATGCAGGAACAGCAATATTTTGCATTGACTTTTAGGTCCATGCTATCTGCACACTTTGGAAAAATTGCCATTAAGCTTATAAACATTGCATATAGCATGTTTATGATGGTCAAAGATATAGAATGAAAAACTGACAAGCTTTGATTATGTTGGAACCTGTATGCCATAGTGTTATGGTAATCAATGTCATGACTCAAAATTCTTTTCTGACAGATACTATAGCTTCTAACTAAACATGTGAATCCTTTTGGATTATGTATGTCAAACAAATTTTGTAACCACATTTGTTTCAATTTTGAGGATACTGGTGCAGCCTCAAATATTTAGGAAGCTGCAAACTTATCTGGCTTCAGTGTGGAGCCCCAGAAATAAAGGAGCATATCCTAGACGAATTTCTGCAAAAGCCAGTGGGTCCTCTATACAGGAAAACAATTCAACGCATGAAGATGAAGCTTCTATGAGTGATGAAGATATTGCTAGCATAAAGGTAAGCATATAGGACTGAAATGGTGATGTGTCTATATTCTAGTTATCTTCTTTTTGGTTGGTTTAAGGCTTGCTTTGATGTATCAGGATTTTGCCAATTTTAATGATAAGATGCTTATATCGGAAAGTTTTAATGCATAATTTAAGAAATCCTGTCTTCCTGCCAGAAAATTGGAAAAGGATGAAAAATTTCAGGTAGACAGGTTCGCTTTAGCCTTTGATAGGCTAAATACTAGTTTTCTTCTTCGTGAACCTTGGATAGTGTTAATAAAAAACACCTAATATGCTGTCATTGGGCACCTTCAACGCATGATCTTGGAAGATGTCACAACTTACATTGTAATTATATAGGACTGCATATTGACCACTGAACAGCATAGCTTGCTTCAATTTTTTAGTAAAAGACATTTGGTCGATGAATTTAGTGCAAGAGCTTTATTCTGTTGTAATGAATTTCTATCCAAACTAGGCAAGTCGAATAAGTTGCAATCTGTAGTTACTGTTATTTTCTGTCAGATTGCTCTTGGTTGTGCTTTACTGTATATTTTGGAGAGGTTCATGCTCTTCCTCGACTATTTTTGCAACCTTTTGTTTCGTCAAATAAAATTCAAGAAGCAAATTGGCTTTCATGCTTTTGTCTTCTTGAAAATAATAGGCCAATAATGAAAGAAATTCCAAATTGAAAAGGTCATAACTGAGTAGGATCCACCCCTTATTCTCATTATATTATATTATGAAATTAGATTAGTTTTGAGGAATTTTCCTTTTCAAAAGAGTACCAGACAGTCTTAATTTCTTATCAGTTAGATGCATTGATTAGCTCTGAATATAATTCCAGCTTTTTTAATCCATGTAATAATAATTGTGGCAACATATGTGCACATATCTGGAAGTATATATGCTGAAGAACAAAAGGGTTACAGGGTTTTGGGTCGGTAGGCAAACAAACAAGTTTTAAATGTAGTATTCAACAGAAACCTTAAATTTAAGTAATTAGTTCTAGTTGTTTTACACATGCAGGATCTTTTGGACGCAGTGGTTCCTTTTGACATCCTATTGGATCGGAGAAAACATAGTTTCTTAATTATCTTGGAAGAAGTTCAAAGATGGAACCAAAACCGAAGGTTGTGTAGGATGCTGGAATTGCTCTGGCATCTCTTGTTATTTGCAAGGAGGCATTTGAGAGGGATGTGTTCATATCAATTTCGTATGCTTTGCTCACTTATAATGAGTTGTTGTTGCTTGTTTCTAATAAAACTATTTTGGTTTTATTTATTTGTTATAATTCCTGTGCATATGAGAGCAACTATTGTTAGTTTGGTCATATCTTGTAGGTGCAGGAAGATAGGAGTAACAATTAATGTATGTGTATCAACTTTTGGATGCTTTGCTTCTTAGCTGTAAAATATTATAGTTGTGCGTGTTGTTAGAGCCACATGTAGTCAAACCCCTTCCTTTGCCATAGTTCTCTTTAGATTTGGGTTGTTAGACCTTTTTTTTTTTTTTTTTTTAACAAATCGAATTGAGCTGAATTTGGATCAAGTTTTTCAAATTCAAATCTGTTTTGATAACTCTAATTGAGAGTGATGCAAGATAGAATTTAGTTAATCTAAATTTCACTATGCTTCTTTTTAGGCTATATTAATATCAAATCTCATTCATCTTCTTCATGTCATGATTTCTGTTTAGAACTCAATATATGAAGAAGCATATTACCATGGCTTTGCTATTGTTTACCATTTACATAACAATAATTAAATTAATCAACATGCATATTAAATTTCAGGGCATGTAATTATTTCTCCTTATCTTCAAGTTGTAATTTTTTTATGAACAAAAAATAATTAAGTTTGATAATATATTATAAAGATTAAGATTAATATAATGTACAAGATAATTTATTTATACTTTTGAAAGATTAAAAACAACTATTAGATATGGAGGTGAGAAAATCTTACATAGATATAAACCAAGAGCTTTGTTGAAGGAATTTAATATTATAGGAATCTAGTTATCAAAGAAAGAATGATACTTTCAGTTGTGAGTGAGTAGAAGCAAAATGAGCCATTTTTATCTCAAAAGTTTGGACCATAAATTTTGTTACTTGTTCCTCTCACGACAGCGTTTTGGAGAAGGATGCACCTTTACTGATGAACAACAAGTTCCTTCCCAAACTTTGTACTGGTTCCCATATCTTACTTGTTAGGTCAACTTTAAAATATGAATCTTCTTTATCATTCTTTGTAATGAGAATGGCTAGCAATTCTTCTTCATTTTCAACTAGATATACTTGAACAATTGAATTGATACGGCGTGATGAAAAAGTCATTTTGTAGGTATCTCAACTATTTTTTATTTCTTTCAGATTAAATACTCTCAAGTTTCCTTTGGCGTCCAAACAATAATATAATTCTTTGTATAAAATTGGATTGTAAACAGATAATCGAAACTTTACGTGACATAGAAAATTATGCATTTTCCAGTTACCTTCTCCTAGTTTATGGACAAAAATGGAGATTGAATCAAACCGTCCTTCGATTCCTAGAACCAAACAATCTGAAGAAGGTGAAAAAGTAAAGAATATCGAATGCACCCATGAAAGCAGCTTAGGAAGTTTAATAATCTCTTTTGTCAAAGGATTGAAGAGAAATGGATGCGTCTCATCTCTAGTCATTAGTAGCCAACCATACTTTGAAAAGCGGATTTCAGCACCTAATATTTTTATTGGAAGGTTTAACTCGCAAGTGTAATTATGTATGGGGTGAAAAAATTGGCTTCTGTCAGTATTGCCTTTGAGGATTCGAAACAAGGAAATGAAAATTCTGCATCATGATCGAATGGAGAAGGAAGTGGATGTGGTGGAGTAATGGGAATTGATCGTCATGTTTTGCAAATTGCATAGAAAATCGCTTTGTCCCCTGCAAAGAGGTTTGATGATATCAAACTTAAAAGCTCTAGTGGAAGATTGCTCCACACATCTTGATCTTTATTCACTTGATGTTTTTTGGATAGTATCAAATCTTTGTTTTTCATAATTACTGTGATGTTTACAAAAAATTAATAAAAAATTTGATTACAATATAAATTCATAAATATCTTAAAGAAAAATCTAAAACTTCATTAAATATTTAATTTACAAGATATTTTTTTATTATAAATTCCAAATTTAATATTTTTTACGTTAAAAAATTTTCATAATTTTCAAATATTTAACAGACATGTACAAAAAAAGCGCCTAA